AAAACGTAATTCATGAAAAAGTATAATGTAATTGTTTGGGCCTTGATGAATTGGGGCATAATGTTAAATAATTATTCACTGGTTTTATTCTTCTGTCAAAGTGTGAAAAAAAAAAAAAAGCTTTTTATTGCCTTTTTTTTTTTAATATAAGGACATGGGCCTTTGTGTCACGCATTTTATTTTAAACTAATGCTTCTATTATTCCACATCTGAGTAATTATAGCTGACATCATCTACTCTTCCACGTCCTAGAAGATCTTTAGCTCTAGTCCACTGTTACATATTTTATTCATTACATGAAATAAAATACCTCAAGATTTTGAAAATATTTATTTTAAAAACAGCAACGAAATTGTCTGTAATCACATTTTCTGCTCTGCTTTGAAAGCAGCATTATTCAATATGCCAGTGGTCTTTTCCATAAGAGCAACGTATTAGAAATTCATGCTGCTCTAATGTATCTGAATTCATTGATGTACTGCACTCCCTATAGACCTAAAGAAACATTTCTGCTTCAGTTTCCTATGTCCTGCACATTACCTGCTGATGTGGTGGTTGTCAAAACAGTTGTACAGTAGCCTTTGAATTCAAAGTGTGCCTTGACTGTGCACTAAAACTGACAATAAACCTAAGTATATACATTATGCTGGCTTTTGTTGCCAGCGGAAGTAGAGCATTTGGGAAATAAATCCCCTGATTTTATTGCCTTTTAACATCTTTTCCACTTTAAACTTCAAACCCAGAAATTTGAAGCATTTCAAGAAACTAAAATCTCTTTTATTTCTTTCTTGTAAATTTTCTATAGTATACCATCACGAGCCACATTTTCAAAAAAAGATCAGCACAAGATTATAAATGAAAGCATTCCAAAAATAGGGTTTTTTTCTCTATGTAAAAACAGCACTGTGATTGTTAACCCTGGTTTCTTGGGGAAAAAAAGCAATCATCTATAGGATATACTGAAGATGCTGAAATGTCTATAATTTTGTTGATAAAATGAATGTGCAGGAAAACTCATTTTACAGAACACACCCAAAAGCATTTTTACAGCTAAACACACGTTCTCATAGGAATGGTACACACATGCATTCGTTTGCAAATGTTAGAAGGGTATTTCTTGCGGTCCTTTGAATATTTCCAGAAAATTCATGCAAACAGAGAAGTGCTGGCAGGTCAAGCCCCAACTGGAACCGAACCAACCTTCAGCTGTAGCCACTCCAGAAGGGATCCCCAACCTTCAGCTGTAGCCACTCCAGAAGGGATCCCTGCTCTGTTACACGGAAACAGTCATGCCTACAGGACCATCAGACACCTCCATTAAACAGCTCTATCTATAGCTGACTGGATCCACTTCTAGAACTCATGTCCATTTTGAAGAAGGACTTTAGAGAGCTCCCACACGTGGCCAAACCACATGTTCATACCATCATGGGCCACATTCTGCACAATTCTGTAGACTTCTGAAGGCCCAATATCCAGATACACTGAGCATCCGAAGAACTCTGTGTGTGACAGCACGGTACAGACTAGGGTACATGTGCCTGTGTGCATACGCCTGTATGTCACCTAAGCAGAAAACAGAAATGCACAAACATAGAAGCCAATACACAAACTGACAGCAGAATAATGAGAGAAATTTTATTTTTTCTTTTTTTTTTTTAATGTACTGGGGATGCAATAGGAAGTCCAATCAATCAAAAAAACTTCAAAGCAGCTAATTCCAACTTTAAGTATCAGGCACAGTAAATGGCAATGGGAAATTTTCATCTCCCAGCATTGTAAAATTTTTCAGAAAGAATTCCCACAGTGTAAAAAATCTGTAAGAAGCTGATCCCTAACAAGAATTCACTGAGCTGTTAGTGGGCTCTTATTGTGTGTGTTTAAGCACTTCCACAGAGGAGAATTCTTACAGAGCTTGGGGCAAATCCTGCAATCCTCACTCAAAGGGATTTCATCTGCAGCTTGGAGGGAGTGCTGCACAGCATGAAACCAGGGCTTCTAACGGGGGGAGTTTTGGAGGGGTTTTAGGAGGGGGTCCATCCTCAATTTTCAAGCTGTCCAAAATCACAGAAATCCTCATCTGAAAACACCTGGTAGCGGAGATGAAAGAAAAATGCTATACTCAGCATACAAACTATTTTCCTAGTTTGTTTCTGAGCTCACTGTGGTTCATTTCTTATGTTTGACTTGCATTAATTAACGCTTTGTCTATAAAAACACCAACTGAAAACCACTCACTTGTTCGAACACAGACAAAAAGGAAAGTATTATTGCTAAAATAACAACATGGGTTAAAAACTGACTGGAAGGAAGGATGTTGAAAGTGAAAAAAAAAAAAAACAAAACCCACCAAATTCAATCAGAGGCATATTGCACAGCAGCTGAATTTGCCCCAACGTAAAATTTGCTGAAGATGTGAAATTAATTAGGGATAGAGAACAGCCAAGAGATTCATTTCTAAGAATAATTTTTCTAAAAACACTCATTAGTGCCCTAAAAGATGAAGCGAGATACATGGTTTCCAAATACACTAAGCCGTAGTTGATATACCAGAAACTATATGGCACTAAGGGTTTAGATAGAGCAGAGAAACTTACACATCATTTTCTATGTGAGACAATATAAAAGTGATTTAGGCAAGTACTTGTTAAATGGATCACAGTTTGATGAGATAGTAAAAAGGAAACCTAGAGATAAGTAATAGCAAGAGAAAAGAGTCATATTGAAGAAAAAATGTGAACGGTTCTGGATTATAAAGAAGACCTTCAAAGCTAAGTAAAGAATGCTAACTCTACAAAACCCTCTGTCCTTCTTCATCAGTCGAAAGCTAAAAGGACAATAGGGCCTTTCTGTTCACTGAAGAAGTCACTGAATTCACTGAAGAATTAACTTCAATTATCTCCCTCAAGTTAATTTCTCTCAAGCTATCAAATTCAAATCAGAGGAACTACACTGCCAAACAGTGTTTGAACTGTACAAAATCACGGTGTTACCATCCTACCAGTTGCACTAACATGAGATGTAGCTTAATCCCCTTGACAGACAAGCCAGCTGGAGTTAAAACTATTGCTAGTTTAAGAGGCCCTCTTACGTGCAAAGGGCATGCAAGTTAGGGATGACAGTTGACTTAACCCATGATGCTTCAAGAATCGCGCTTTATTTATTGAAAGAATCCTCCAAAATGATTGTTAAAATTTAGCATGTATTTTCTCAATATCTGATTTTCATTTTTTTGGATCTTCACTAAGTCCTAATAGCAAAATTGCCTAGTTATATTATTCAGGTTTTTTGCTTTTGCCCTCGATGCAATAATTCACCATGATGTACAAACTCCCAAGGCCCCTTGTCCAAAGCTTGTTGCAAGAGGTTAATGTGGAACATCAGAGCTTAAAAGAATGCGCAGTTTTGAGCCATAGCCATGGCTCAAAAGAGGTCAATTCAATGAAATATGGCTTGTCTTGAGTGGAGTGCCAAGTGTTTCTCCTACTTTTTCAAGTCCTTTCATATCTCTGATTCTCAGAACCCCACACAAGGTTTTAGCTCACGCTCTTTAATGTATGCCATCGGCTTTGCAGAAATGCAAGCAAAATTCAAAATATTTTCATGAATTGTATTTGTATTTCCCTTCTCCTCCCCCCCATTATTGAACATAACCCTGGGGTCAGATTCTGACCTCAAACACAAAGCACGCAGCATCCTAGTAAATCAGTAACAATCGAGCAGCATGTAAGAAGCCAAGAGTAGCCCCCCTGCAGTACAGCTTGTTGGACATCCTCAGAGGGAATGCAAGGCTCCTTGAAATCAAGGCGGCTTTATTTTAATGAAGTTGCAATGAAGCCCTGTGACAAGGCAGATTTTTGTTGTACGCTGTTTTCCTGCCACCACAGCCCCTGGCTCTGGGGCTGTTAGTCTGAGGGGCTGATGGGGAGCTGAGCCTAGATCTCTGAGCCCTGAAACCCTTCACATGCTGCCTCAGCTCCCAGGACTGACTTATTTTCTTAGGTAATATGATGGGAAGCTAGTGAGCTGGAAGCCTGAACAGCCTCAGTCTCTAACTCAGAGCCTCCAAGCTGCGACACAGGGCCCTAAGCCTCTGATCCTTCTGTGAGAAGCCCAGACCCTTGGATCTCTAGGAATGGCAGATCCTTAACTGTGGCTGTCTGGATCAGGGCAGCCCATCTAGCAGAGTGCCTGAAGTCCAGGTCACACACAATGCCAAGCCCCAGCCTCTTCCATGGGATTTTTAACTCTTTGGCTTAGAATTGTACACTGACATGAAATAATCTTGTCTGGAGCTGCTATGCAAGAAGTATACTAATAATTTGTAGAGCCCACTTGAAAATGTAACACGTAAAGCAGCTCCGCAGTTGTTGCAAGCAATTTAACATTCAAAGAAGTGATTTATAATATCAGGCTTCCCAAGATTACGACCATAATGACTATCTGACAGACTTTATAAGCAAATCGTCCAGTCATTTCAATTGGATTCTGGCTGGCTAAGGACTGGGAACTGTAAAAAGGCTGTAAGATTTGGCCTAGAATCAGAAATAACATTTGCTGTTTTCCAAACGTGCGGTAAACAAGAAAGGAGATATTAAATTTTTGTACATCTCTCAGCACATGCAAATGAGAATGGAAAGAGCCTCGTCAGGCAAACACAGAATAACGGCCATCTGGACCCAAACTCTGCTCCAGCGCAGTCAAAGCCTTGAGCCTCCTTTTGTCATTATTTACCTCCGCGTAAAGTGGGAGTAATTCTACTCCAGGCAGCAGGCAACACCCTGGCTTTGAGGAATTCAGCTGTAAACCTCCCCCCGCCTCAACCTCTGGTGCGGGGAGGATCTGACATAGGGAGTGCAATGTAAAACCCAGAGCCAGGCCAGCTCGCTCCATGACTTGAGCGGCGCAGGAGCTGGCCCCTCGGAGGATTTCAAACAGGTCTGTATTTCCACGATTTCACACCTTACAGAGGGAACAGAAGGGAAAGACAAAAAGCTTACCACAGAGAGGGAATTGGAAAGCAGTGTCCCGTCTTGGCCAAGCATGTTGGAAACTGTAATTTCAGGTAGATCCATGTTTTGTGGGTGGAATGGAAGGAGGCCATTGTGGTTCATGGGATGACACAGAGAGTGGTACCCAGACTCTATCTCATTCAAGTGCACCAGGGAGTGGTCCGGCAATGACGGAGGAGTTATAGGAGGTATATTAAAATCTTCACTTTCAAGACTTGGGCCAGGAAAAGACTGGAAAATAAAACCAAACAAATATAAAGTACTATGAAAACCACACGAATATTGGTCAATAATAATAATAATAAAAGTCACACAAAACAAACAGAGCCCAACTCACATACTTCTAAGCCGGAGTTTCAATTTAACAAAGAGAATATTTTAAACACCCATATATTATAACAGTGGAGTTTCACCATTATGTATGGAAGAAAAATTGCCTCTAAGGCATAAGAATCTCTGATACTTTCACAGCTTCCATTAGAAAGAGATCTTTTTTTTAAAAGAAGCTGAATTCAAACAGATTTCAAGGGTCCTATTAAAATTTTCCAAGAGTGTTCAGCTAGCTGAATACCTTTTTCATGGGAATTGTGGAAAAGGGAATGCAATTTATAAAATTAACATTGGCTCAAAATGGTTCATAAGACTCCCTGCTTCTCAGAACAGGAATTATACAGTGAAGAAGAAAGGTACCGCTTTTAGGCTTAGAGAAGAACCATGCATTTGTTCTGCTACAAACAAAAACAAATAAATACAGAAATAGTACATACTTCATATGAATATACTTTGAGTTTATAAAAAGAGATTTGTGGTTTCTCAAAACCACCAATTTTTCCTTTCTTAGTCTATAAACTCAACGATTTATGCATTTTGTCAGTCATCTGCATGAGTTACTCCACAAAGCAACTGTTTAGTCTTTTGTTGTCCACTGCCATTAAGTCATCCACCTCAATCTGATCCAAGGAAAAGCCACAGGCAAAGTCAGGGTAATGCGCCAAGGTGGATAATTGCTATTATTTATCTACAGTCTCTGTACAGCAGGTAGGCTCATTTGGGGGATCTGGGCGGGTATGTTTACATTTCCCAAAGAAAAAAGGTGAGCAGGATTAGATATATGATCCAAATCAAAAGTTCAAGGGATCAGTCGCAGTGCTTCAGCCTGAAAGCCTACTCTGCTTTTCTGAGAATAGCCACAGTTCTCACCTCCTTTGCAAGAGATCCTTTTTTGCACATCCCACGCCCACAGTCAGGGGGTTTAGAGCACAGAGACTACTCCCACCCTTCCTGCCCCTCTGCAGCAGTGCAGCCCTGCTCTGTGTGCTGCTTTTGTCAATCCTGGAAATGCAAGGATTGAAATACATTCTGCTCCTGCAAAGTATCTTCAGGAAAGACAAAACTGAAGGCATAACTTCAGCTGTTAGAAGAAAATGTTATCCCCAATGCGAGTTTGCAAATACAGGACAGCATGGTGTACGAATTCATGCAGAAGGACAAGGGAAGAATCAATGCCCAATTACAAACAAAGGGTTTGTTCGTTAGTCATCATAGCAATACAGTCCTCCCAATGCCTGAAGTTACTCTCTTCTGTATGAGCACGGACATAAAAACTTTTATCAGACCAACAACAGTGTTACACGTTTACAATGAGCTGCTGAACACAGAAGAACCTACTCTAGTGCGCACTGCTGTGGTTTTAGTTGCTTTGCTTGTTTCCCAACGAAGTTTGCACCTCTGTTACCAAATATCTTAGCCTGAAACGAACAGGAAGGCTAGACCGCAAAGGCCAAAGTAAAATTCCAAAGAATGAAAACAATAGAACAGGGAGAGGAAAAGGTTTGGCAGCGATATCGCCATCATTATGTGTGAGGACTTGGATTCTGCCCATGCTTTCCAGCTGTTTCCCACCTCTGGCACAAGAGTTTGCTCTCCCCTTGTCCCTGTCCTCTCCTTAATGGGGAGGTGGTGTGAGTCTCGTGCCATTTGTAAGCCATATTTGCCCCTGCTTTTAGAAGCCACGAGGCAGCCATCAGTGGAGACATCGCTAAGGGAGGAGATACAGTAAATACAGACCCTCACTAAATGGGAAGGAGACTTACACATGGCAAAGAGAACACATCCTATTTATTCAACCACAATGTATAAACTGTGCAAAGACAAATAAAAGTATTATGGACACTGTATACACTAACTGTTTGATAATTACTATTACATTAAGTAATGATGATGAAAAGAAAGGTGTCTAAAGTGAGCCACAGTAATGAAGCAGTGAGGAACAGAAATGAAGGGACAACACCCATAATGCTCTTCTGGCCCAGCACTGTCCCACACAAGTACACTTAGATTTGGGTACTGTAATCCTGGTGAGCTTAGATCCATGTAACCTACAGCTACCAGGAGGGATTCACAAGCTGTGAAAAGAGGAGATTTTGTGTTCAACGCTGTCTCTTCTACTGTCCCAAAAGACTGATGGCCTCAAAAGGGTTTTCTCTCCCATGATTTTGCAGGTACAAAAAAGTGCTAACATCTGTTTTCTCTCTCTCTCACTGTCCTATGGTGAAAATACTTTGTGCTCCATCTTTGCTGAACCAAGGTGTCTCGACACCTCCCGGAGAAGCAAGAGAGATCTGCCCTCCTACTTTCCTTGAGCAAGACTAGCACAAGTCTACACTATTCTCTCACTGCTTCTTTAACAAGAAGAAGGGACTTCAACTTACATTTGCTACTAAAAGCAAATATTCCTAAATGAAATATTGACAGGCTGGGTGTGCCTACGTCATTAATATTGGCAGCATTCAGCAAATATGCTTATTTGTACACGCTTTTGCAGGCCATATGTGGATAGTCTAGGTTTCACTTTAGTTAGACTTTGAGTTGCTGTGTTTCAAATGTGTCTTTAATAAGTAACGCTTCAAAAATGGTGGAGGCAATTGAGCTGCCGTTAGGACACTAGCTTCACTTATTAAAAAGGAAGTAAAACACCAGTGGCATAAAACTCCACAACCCAAGTTGCATCATGTGTAACTATATAATAATGTTATACACATTACATGGGCTGTGCATTTTAAATGGACGGTTGCTCTCTGATTAAAAAAAACCCAAAACACACTATGGTTATTGCTTGCAAAGCAGTTAGAATGTATGTGATTCCACATCACCTACCACATCATTGTCTACTATACTTAAATAAGCTTCTTAAAGTAGTAGTAGTGTAGTAGGGGCCATAATAACATGCCAAACCAACACATAATTCAAGCTCTAGTACTTCCTATAATGTTGGGGTTTTTTTTTAGACCGAAACTATTTTACTAATTCAATAAAGCTAGTCAGAACCCAAGCCATATGCTAATAGTAAGGACAGATATTTGAAAGCATCTGCAGAGCACCCCATTCACCAAACCTTCTCAGCCAATTTGGCATTTCCGTACTTAGTACGTGTGTTTGTAACACACACAGACCTAACTTCCTTAGGGAAGTTACTTCACCAGTGGACATGCCAGTACTCCAGTCTGTCTCATGCAGGAGCATGGTTTGGATGCTTGTGATGAACTTGTCACACCAGTATACGAGAAACCAAAAGCCCTGCACACATTTGCAGCAAACCCAACAGAGCTGAAACAAGCCTGCCGCAACTGCGCGCCGAGGGAAGGAGCGAGGAACAGAAGACATGCTCGTCCTGCCAACAGCAGCTACGAGCTCCAAACACCCACTTGTACTTTCCTGCCACCTCTCCCCTTGCCATTGGGAAAGACTTCTTGAAGGAACCAGCTGGAGTCCCCTTGATGCAACCGATCCAGTGCTGGCAATGGGCTCTCCTGGAATGTCGTATTGTTACCTTCGTCCCCCAAATGGCGTTTAAGGGAACTCCAGCACAAGGCCCGAGAATTTCCCTGCAGCAAGAACTCCCATGCCCAGGCCAGTCATCATCCTGTCCTCACCCCTGGGCATCTCTAGAGCATCTCTTCTTTCAACCCAAGACATTTACCTGGAATTTCTAATGAAAGCAGTCATCTACTATCGAAAGCATTAGGGAAGGCCTCACTCCCTGTATCCAATTACAATTCATAAGTACAGCCCATATATGTCAATAATAAGTGGTGGCCTGTAGCTTCAGCTCTGCTAGGTTTTTCTTGGGGGTGGGGAGAAAGGTTAGGGTCTTCTGCCTGCTCCAAGGGTTTTTTCCCTCATGGTTCTCTACACAGAAAGACACAGAATAGCTCCTTTTCATTCTACTGGTCACAGAATTACTAGCAAGCTCGCCTTTTCACTTTTGAATCAAAAAGGAGCAGCAGCAAATGCTTTATTTACTTTACCACAGAGCTGCTAGGAACATTGCCAGTGGTTTGGCTTTCACCTCGTGACTGTGGGAGTGGATGAGGCGTTGAGCAGCTCTTCAGTTTAGGGGAACTTCCGGGACTTTTATTACATTCCAGAGAGAAAGCCCTCTGCAAAGTAACACCATTAAACCCACTGCATTGCACTGAACAGACACAGGCTTTAATTTCACTTTATTATAAGTAGGATTTTCATTACACCTGTATTTATTATAAACAGACCTCAGTATATTTCGGATGGGAGCTGCACAGTGGGAACCTCAGAACTGAGCACCCTTAAATTTGGGCTATTTACAGAGACAAAGCTATGAAAAAACTTTTTGAATCAAAGATGTCTTCCCAAATCCAAAGGACAACATTCTTTCTGGTTAACTATCTGTGAGATCTCTGCCTCATATGATGGAAACTTCATAAAGCAGATGATCTTTGAGATGTCCACTCTGAGATCAGGAGACCTCGTTATCTATGCCACCTTAGCCTATAATTCTATGAGAAAACATTGCCAGAATAAAATGATTCGAACTCTTAACCCCGATTTGCTGTCCAACCCAAGTCCAAGCTTTTGTTCCTGAACAATGACCTTGTTGGTCCCCTTCCATTTATCTTTTATGCCGTTCAGGCTGGCCAAATCCAGCAACAACCTACAGAAGCGGGGTGAAAATGGGGGGGAAGGTATATGTCAAAGGTCAGTTCTTTACTTTAGCAACACTTAAATTAAGGCTGAGCATCCTGCTGTGCTAGTAACACACACACACACACAAAATCTCATATTTCTTTCTGAGGAACCCAGATACTAATTGTTACTGGAAAAATACAGGAAATGCTTGTATAACCTGCTGCATAAGAGCTGAGGAAAAGGGAGTAAGGAGAAAGAAGGAAACAAAATGAAGCCCCTTTGCTTAG